AGTGGAGTGACCAGTAAAATGAGTCCCTTATTAACATTTTGCATGGGAAGCGGCTGGGATATTGAAGGCATGGCATCTTAGATTGTCATGACAAGTTAAGACCGGGTCCTGTTATCAGGAGTTTATTGTACATATAATTACATTGATTAAACAATGCAGAAAACAGGACACTCAGCCAAACTAATGTCCGTGTTTTTACATCACATGAGCCTCCATTCCTCCTCATCCCAAATTTGCCCCTTTCCATCCTTAGCTGCATTGAACTTACTCCTTGCCAAGCTCCACTTTGGAGCTTCCCATTTTGGCTTCCCATCTTCCAGTGGGTTGCTATCAAGATCCTCACTCTCACTTCTAAATCGCTATATGACCTCACACCTCTGTGATCGCCCACAAAATATGCAGTCAATTCACTTTACAGTATATTCTGTGAGGCGCTTTGAGATGTCTTGTATACATAAGGTGCTATATCAAATGCAAGGATTATAATTATTATCTCTGTGATCCTATGAGTGAAACTGTCATGTCATTATAGAATTTTAGGATTTTATGGATCTCAACCACCATGTTATAATGGGGTTCCACTGTATTTCCCGTGACTAGGTAAGAAGGGTGCACACTCCATTCCAGATGAGAGAAATTCCCATGCAAATGTAGAACTATTGTCTGGATTGGATACTGTTAACCAAAGTGTTGGTTTTCTGTGTGTGTAAGGCACCTGGCTGACCAAAAATAAACCTATCTTTCTTCACACTTTCCACAGCACTTCCGTTGAAGAACAGTTCCACAGATATCAGTTGCCCACTCTTTCAAGTGGGCATTAATCTTGTGTGAACCTTGACCTCGAATGTTGTCAAACTATTTCAGCATTGAAGGACATGTCCTGCCTGAAGCAGGAATTGAGGGGACTATATCTAAATTTGCGGATTATACTAAGCTATTGTATTGAAAAGAGAATGGGTGAAAAATACAAAGACATATACAGTTTAAGGTAATCCAAAATCGAGGGAATCCACACAGCTGCCTCTGCCACTGCAACCCCCTCCACACCTTTGAACCCATCTCCCCCTCCTCTCATCACCACCATAACCCGCAGGAAACCCACCACCTGCTCCCTCGACCCCATCCCTACCCCCCTCCTTACTTCCCAGCTCCACCTTCTTGCCCCTCTACTCACTGACATCGTTAACGTCTCCCTGTCCCACCACTTTAAAAAACGTCATCACTCCTATCCTTAAAATACACTCCCTGGACCCTTCTCTACTCCCTAACTACCGCCCCATCTCCAACCTCCCCTTCCTCTCCAGGGTCAGCTCGGGTCCACAACTCTGTCTGTCCAGCACCTTGGCATGTCCTCCCAACGTCAAAGGCGCTATACAAAGGTAATTTTGTTGTTGTTGTAAGGTAGAACCATAGCAGATGTAGATTAACATTGCAAAGTGTGAGGAACAACAACAATTTACATTTTATACAGCAACTTTAATTTCGGGAGAAGGTCTCAAAGTGCTTCCCATAAGTAACTGGGAGCCTGAGCTGCAGTGTCCGAACCTACTCCTGCTACTATGTCTCTTATCTCTGGAACTCCCTGCCTCAATCCCTCCACCTTTATCTTTAAATTCCACCTGAAAACTACCTTTTCGACTGCACCTATGGTCATCCCTCCATCCCTTTCTCAGCATCTTACCTCACCATTACAGTGCTACAAAATGTAATTCTACTTGAAGCCCACTATATGAATGCAAGCTGTTCTTGTTGTACATCATTACAATCTATTTTGCAGGGGTAGAAGACTGTTAATAAGGCAGGTGGAATGGAATATAAATGTAAGAGGGTACTGTTCTGCTCAGTTATGTAAAGAGCTAACCTGACCTCCTTTGGGGTACTGTATTCAGTTTTGGGCATCCAATTCGAGGAAGGATATAATTGGAGGGTGCCAAATGTTCCTATCACCATTGAGTCCTAACATCCAAGTGTACCTTCCAATGAAAGAGGATGTCTCTGTATAGCGATCAGACCAGGTTATTTTTTCCCTTCTCCTCCCCCCATCCATAACCTAGGGGTACCGAGACCAATTTTATACCCATATGCTTTCTAGTCTAGTTGAAGTCAGTTAACTCAGCAAAGACCAGGGATTAAACATGCAGTTTCTAGTCTGTGCTGTCCTGAGAATTCAACCCTAGGCCACTATCAGTACAACATATAAATCATGAAAGCATTAAAAGCATCTTGTGAATAAATGGCAAAAAACTGGTTTCCAAATTCAGACTGAGTTTAAGAATTTTCTGAAATTCTGCATATTTTATGATGATGGTTTTAAGGCACAATTTCAGGGCTGAGATGTAGTATCTAAATCAGAGTTTGATTTTATCAAATGTAGGCTTTTTTAATTAATAATATTAATCCTTGCATTTGGTACAGTGCCTTTTAGGTCAGAAGGAAGTATCAAAGAGCTTCACAGGGTTTATTGTAAAGTGTAGTCATTGTGTGGTTTGTAGGTGAATCCGGTAGCCAATTTGTGCCCAGGATTGCCCAACAAACCCCCATGAAGTGAATGACCAATTTAAATTTGCCACTAGATATCACATGTGCATAATTGTGGAGTAATGTGATATAAAACATATTCTTCACAGTGTCCATTTTGAGATTTGAATTTTTTTTTAAAATGTGGATGTTCCTTTTACTGAACACAACTTCAACTTTAATTGCAAATATGTACACATAGTATGCACGGTTCATAAAATAAGCCGCATTTTCCTGTCAGATACCTTTATTCAAACTGCAATTTTGGAATTCGGCTCACTTAACTATTAAGATTAATTGTTTGGAAGAACTCTGTTCCAATTTGTGGACATTAAGGCAAATCAAAATTTGAACCTAATTAAGCATTCCTGAAGAGCATCTGTCTGCTGACTTAAAGCGTTTGTGCTTGCTGCAATCCTTTCCCTCCGTTCCCTCCACCAAGATGATGCACAGGCTTTCAGGCCTCAACCAATGCTGCTTTTGAGCTGTCTGATTTGACTTACACAAGAGGGTGTCAGCCTAACAAAGTGGCTGTTGCTCTGTTCAGCATCTTCCTTCTACCCCCCCCCACCCCCACGCTCCAATTGATGGGGAATTACAATGCCCATTTTGAGGATCAACTATACAGTCCTTGGCTCCTCCATCTGATTAATATTTACTCATGCAATCTTCATTTATTTTCCAGGACATTATTTTATACATAAGTATTTTCTAATCACTCTCATTTAATGCTTCAAGGTAATATGGTAAGGAGTAATTTTACACTGCTCTTTATTGCATTAATTTTCTAAATTTTTTAGTCAGGATCAATGTAAATTTGATGATAAATTGTGTTCTTGGTATTGGTGAACTGGACAATTTTTAAAATGCACTAAACTGTTTATTGCTGTGAGTGTAAATTACAGTAAATTGCTACCTAAAGCAGTCTGTCTTGCTTTGCTGCAAGCTTGTATTCAAGCAACCTGCAGTGGAGCGATACTGCTCTTTGATGATATTTCACGGAATGGATTTTACTTTTTGCAAATGCAGTATTTCTATTTGTTAGTACACATTAGACTGCACAGTAACCAACCAAATTATGTTTTGAAGAATTGGCTATTTTTCACATTGGTTACAGCCATTTTGATTTTTACAATGCTTAAAATATCGATGAGTTAACTTAATTTTTTTAGCCTCAACTGGCACATTTTTATAGCTCCCTGTTAATTTTTTTTTGTAAATGCACAATTGAGTTGCTGACATCTGAAATATCTCAGTATATTATTATGAGTAATATATTAGTAGAACCTCTGCTCCTATCCCCATATTTCCTGTAGATACAAGATACAGTAGTGAATATGGGTTGTGTGTATTTATTTTGTTTGATTTATTAATGCAATAAATTGAAATTCTTGTGGATTGCATTTTTAAAGTTCAAGATACAGCAATAATTTTTAAATAAAATCTTACAAATTTAATACATCTGATATTTACAAATTTAACAACTAATCTGTGTCTCCAGAATTGATATAGAAATTTTAGACGGCAGCTTGAGAAGTCTCTGGGTAATGTCTTTCTCTTAATTATTTTTGAAACTCACATTTTTTTTACTGAACAGTAAGAATTGCCTTTGTGTTCGCAAGATATTCCTTAATCTTTTAGTACTGTTCTTCAACAAGGATTTTGGAAAGAGAAATGTTAAAAACAAATGGATGGAAATCATAGTTTTGAATGTTAAGCAGTCAATCTATTGTTTGAAGGAAGATTCAAACTCCTGAAAGAGTTATTGCGCTTATGCAAAATAAATTTGAATTATTGTATGGAGAAATAGCTAAGATTATGACTCTTAATTGCATGATCAGTATAGTAAACTGTATTCAAAAACGAACATTCTGCACTCAACAACTCGTTTTGAAGTGCAATATTATTTGCATAATTTGATTTGCATTCTGTAGGCATTATATGCAAATCTGTTAATTGCTGACTTGAGTTAGAAAGTAAGGCAAGTGCTTTGAAGTGAGCCATTTGAAAGGTTAAAAACTATTTGACTAATAAACAAGGGAAGAACACTGCTAGAAATATGAAGGGATCTTTAGTGGTGTTCGATTTGTTTTCCAAAATAAGTTGCACAATATAAAGGTTGAACAATCAAGAAAAGTCTCTGTCTCTAAGCGAACAGATGCCTACTGAACAGTATCATGTTAACTTTACATCTCTGCCTCCCTGCACTTTTTCTTCAGTGTGAACAAAGTCCTTATCCAGAAGGCTTGCAAAAAAAGTACACTGCCTTTTTATGTTGCGGCAGTTCAGAGAAGTGAAAAAGTTCGAACCAGTGACTATTTAGTCATGTGCAGCAGAGTGCATAACGTGGCTATGCCTTGTGTTGCTCAAATTACATTGCCCGAGGAGCTGCACTTGGCCTGCTGTCTTCCTCGATCATAACATTCTGCTAGGAGCTTTTTAAAAAATTTTTTTTGACAAAGTCGACTTTGTATTTCTTGCAGGATGCTTCATCTACAGACATTAGAAAAGCTTATCGGAAAATGTCTTTGATCTTACATCCAGACAAGAACAAAGATGAAAACGCAGAGACTCAATTTAGACAAGTAAGGGAGCTTTTGGTCAGTTTATTTTTACCTTTTTGTATATTCAGTTTTTTTTAAACATAATTTACATTTTGATTCTTTTATTTTCAGTTGGTAGCTATCTACGAAGTTCTGAAAGATGACGAAAAAAGGCAAAGGTATGATGATGGTTTCCAAAGCCTTTAAAAATGCACATACCTTTTGGAGTTGAATGCCCAGAATATTGAATTAGTTTGAGTGACAAATGTATTGTGGAATTTGTTCTGATGGAATATTGTTTGTTCACTGGCTACATATATTTCTTAAATGAGTGCACTGGTAGTAAAGAGTACATCTCATGATTTATGATGAATAATAAACCTGTTCTTTACTACTGTTTAGCCTCCTGGCAGTTAGTATTTGTCCACGAATACTGTTAGTATGATTGAGCTTATGCAACTTTTTTGTGTGCATGTGAAAATCTCTTTATTACACACAAATGTGATTCCAAATTTCATGCATGTGATACATGCATGATTACATACACTTTCCTTTTTTTCCCCTCTCTGTTCTTTCCTTTCCCCTCTCCAGTGTCGAGTCATAAATCTGCCTTATTCCAGCATTTGATAGCAGTGTACTGCATTTACGATCTGCTATATTGAATTAAAGTGGTAAGACTGCCTTTCCATCAATGGCAATTTGGTCGTATTTCTGTTTTTTTTATTGATTTGCAGACATATATTTACTTACTCTAGTTTCCTGATTCACTGGTTCAAAACGCTAGTTTTTTCGGGCAGGAAGTGATGTAACCTCAGGAATTTATTAGTTTAATCTCTATTTGGGGCATTTTAAGATGTTGATTGGGCATCGCATCAGAGATGTGAGAGGTAGTTCATGTGATGTAGGAAATATTAAGTCCACTGTGGTAACCATAATCCTCGTTAAAATATTTTATTCTTAGAAATGTCCCATTCAGTCAACTTTATAACCGGTTGCAGTTGGATGTGATTTTTAGGTTCTGGATTTAAATAAGTTGTAGAGAATTTTTGAGTATGAGGACTGACAAGAATGTTATTTTGTTATGTTTAAATTAACCAGCTACCATTAATATATTTTAACCAATTAAGTTTTTCTTAAATTTAGTCAAGAATTCTGAATACTTTCGTAGAACTAAAGAAATTTTGTGAAATAAATCTAGCTGGCAAATTTCCAGTGATTATTTTTAAATCTGATGTGTTTTGTGTATGAGGTGTACAGTATCTTCATTATGATTTTCCAGTTTCATAAAGTTTAGTTTTAAAATTGCACTGTGATAAATATACATTATTTAAAAACATAACTACAAAATACAGCATCATACTTTTGATCCATATTTTGGTGTGATGGTTTTTTCAGGAGTAAAGGGTAATTTTTGAATGAGCAAAATTCCTGTGCAGTAATATTTGCCTGGAAGATATTGCTACTGATCCAAAGTAGCATTTATTTATTAAATACATTTTAGTTTGCTTTACCTGAATATCATTAACCAAATGCAGCTCAGTGACCCACTGAGCTATTTAAAAATGCAATTGTAAAATCATAGTCTGCTTTTGAAAATCTTATATGGTGTATATGGCCTACTAAGCAGCAGGAGGGTTAAAAGGGAGTATATTTATCATTTTGGCTTTGAGCATAAGATTCTCTCTTGCCCCTGCCCCCCTCCCCCTTGGGAATCAGCTGTTTCCTGCTCACTGCTGCCTTCTCACTTGGTCACTGGATGAAATTGAGATCAGGACCTTGGTGTGGAGAATTGTAGGAGCTAATTTGCATCCTGTGACTCTCAATTTTCTTATGAACATTTGTTATCAATATGCCTATAATTTAAAGGCTGTATTATGAGTACATTTCAGCTTTTTTAAAAAGTTACCATTTCATTGATGAGGAATTGTTTCACAGAATGAAAACTGTAGATTTGAAATTGCTGTGGTTTGAGTGGAATTTCAGTATTACTCTTATTATCTGTTTTATTGTCAGTAAGGTTTGGCAGTCCTGTGGATGATATTTGTACAGATAGTACAACTTAAAATATATTTTTGTCATAATTCAAAATACAAAGCATACCAGAATTGCCCTTATTTGTAGTAGGATTTATGTTTCATCACCAGGAGGCAGTATTCAATACCAATTGACAGCAGTAGAAATGGGTGTTCATGGAATGAATAAGAACAATTTTATGAACTATCTAACTATTTTAATAGTTAGTGCTTTCTGCTTCATTCAGTGTTTGTATAAATCTGTTTGTGCACTGAAGTGTAATTCATGTAAATTTAACTCAGACCCTTGCCTCTGAATTTGTATGGCACTAAACGTTTGATTGTACAAAGGTATTTGTACAGCACTTTATAAGTAAATGTAGTATTTCTGCTACCGTAGGATTGACAAAGTGAGTGGTATGATACCTTTTATGGAATCAACATATGATTGTATCCATTGTATTTATTCCCATTAACTGTCTTAATTTTAGTAGTCCAATTCTGTGGAGGATATTTTTTTCTTACATCAATCTGCCTAGATTCTGTATTCTATTCTAATTTGCTAAAATACATTCAGTAAAAATCTCTTAATCTGAGAAATAACATCCTGCGAAAAATTGGTTATTCACTTTACACAAATTGACTTCATTTGATTTCAGTTGTGTGGAAGCAGTGATTTTTCTGCCTATCTAAAGTCTGAAATATTATAAAATTGTGTGAATAGAAAACGAAGGTGTAGCAAACTTATTTAAACTGATTTGAAATTGAAGAAATTAAGTGTACATGTATATCTGTGTTTGTTTATTGTACGCTTAAATGGAAAGAGCTAGTAACTAACAAGGTGGTTTGTTTTCAATCGTTAAGTGGTGAAACTGATCATAGTTTTGATTTGCAAGCAGTGTTAACAATTATTTACAGACATCTACCTTGCATGCTTGCTCGACAACTTTTACTTGGGGGGAGAATGGGGGAATATAAAGCCTGGTTGTTATTCAAATAAGGTCTTTTTATTTTGTATTTTATGTCTTAGCTTCCTGCTGTTCACTGCTATTAAGTACAGCATACTCTGTAAAAATATGGATCGTTTTGATCCATACCTTAACTTTTGGTTTTCTGTTAAATGGTTTAAATGGAATAGTGCTGGTTTCTTTGGGTGTATATTTTTGAAGTCCCCCCTGACATGAAAGGTGCTATATAAATGTAATTTGTTGTTGTATTCAGGTAATAACTTGTCAGCTATTGTTCTGTGGCAAAGTTGATGTTTTATAAGAAGTATTATACTGCATTTTTGTTGGTACCACAGAAATGGCTTAGAATTCATTTTTAATTAAAAATAAATCATAAATACTAAGGAGATGTGGAGGAATGTTGATGGTTAAGAGAGAAAATAGAGTGGGAGTAGATTTGCTCATGTAGAGAACATGAGTGCAGATTTTGTGGACCAAAATTTTTTTATGATTCTATGGCCCTGTTCAGCTGAAAATACAATATTATTTGGATTACAGCAATTCTGAGGTTTAAAAGTACACCTACTCTGTGAATACTGAATTGTGTTTGGTATAATTCTGTAATTTGAAAGAATAGCATGAAATACCTGTATTTGCATTTTAGGATGAGAAAATTCCTGCCGTTCCCAGCATCATTTCATAGATGCTTTGTTTCAGGCTTGTGTTGAAATTGAGCACTATCTGTATTTAGATCTTTGTTGAATTTATACACAGTGACATTGTATGAAATCCAAGCTTTGTAGTGAGTTTTATCAGAAATATCAAAATTTGCAAATTTTAAAGTGCTTGTTGAGAACCAACAGCAGCATTGGAAGCAAACCTGCAATAATCAGAAAAAAGGTATTCATCTGGATTTGTATTGGTTGGAAAATATATAATTGCAAATGTATACTGAAATCACCTGGTGGTTTGCAAACTAATCCATTCTTTTTTTTTCAAAAGCTGTTCTTCACCAAGAGGTAATAACCATCCATATATTTTGAGATTTAAGAATCATTCTCCCTAAACTGTCATGTAACAGCAGTGTTAAACTTTCAGTCGTGACATCTTTTTAACAAAACAAATGACATTGATACACACTTACATCAAGATATGATATTTCACCCACCCCTCATGTTTGGTTTTATGGCCGTATGAATACCCTTTCAGTTTTTTGTTTTACTCTTTCAATATTGTTGTTTTTAAAAATTTATACAAATGTAATTGAACAGTTTGTGGGATTAATGATAATGAGGGATCTTATGTAGAGTTTCAAACAGGGTTGCTGATTGTTTAATATATGCATTCTAACTATCAGAATAATTTATATTACATGGTACTATACAAATCATTTGGTTAAGTAGACTTCACGTGTATCCTTACACAGAGGCATAATTTGAAGATGGACACTGCTGAAATCAAAATCTTTTGGATTGCAGCGATTGTCTTCTTAAACGGATATGAAATTATAGGGAAATAATTTCTGCTTGTTAAATATTAAAGTTGTGTTTAGACCCAGAAAAATATGATATTTGGTTGTTTTAACAGCATTACAAAAAAAATCTTTATTCGTTTTCATTCTGCTTTGGAACTCCCAGTGGGGAACTGTAAATGTTAGAGGGAGTTCTGTTTCCTTAACTGGTAATTAATCACAACACACATTCACATATTTGCTTCTTTATTGACACAAGTAATATTTAAACAAATTGAGTTTGTTAAAATCTCTTTCCTATCATGTTGAAGGGAAAAATGTCCAGTAATGCCTGAAAATTACCTTGCTTTTTGAACATCATTTGTCTACAATTTTTGTGCTTTAAAATAAATCTGTGGTTGATAAATAATTTTCAATACTTCTTCTACCCCCTCCCCTAAAGAACCAAACACAATTTTCCCCCTATTAACTGAACCCTTGCCTTTTGTTTTTTTTTTAAAAAAGACATAAACTCATCTCTACCTATTAAAATGCAAAACATTGTCTCAAATTCTTAAGTAACCACAGTGTACAGTTTTGTTTTCCATTCTGTTATATATTTGTTTTTATTTGAATTTCTGCAAATTTATAACTGGGTTAAAGTATTAATTTGTATGGGTGAAAAAAAATAACTGGTGTTACCCCACCTCTTCAATTGATATTTTGAGAATTGTTAACCCATATGTTCTTTTAAATGTACTATGTATTGA